GAGTGCGGGCCGGGGCGCGGAGGGCACGGCCGGCACCGCGGGCGCTGCCGGGGCCGACACTGAGGTGGCCGTGGGCAGGGCAGCGGCGCCGGGTTGCGGCGCTCGAGACCGACGCGTGCCTGCCCGAGCGGCGCTGCCCGGCCTGTGAGGCGGCGCGCGGCCCAACATGGCGGCGGCGCCGCTCCCGCCCGGCGCGGGCCCGGATCGGCGGCGGCTCCGCGGGGAGATCCGTCCGCACGGCGCGGCGGGCTCTCTCTGCCCCTGGATTGAGCTGTTCTCGCCCCGCTGTTCTTCTGTGGGGCCGCCGATCCCGCCGCGGGGTCAGCGCAGGGCGGGCGGGGTGTGGCGGGCGCGGTGGTGGCTCCGCGGCTCACTCACTCTGCGGGCCGCCTGTGTTTCGTGTCCCTCTAGCTGCGGGAGTACAAGGTGGTCGGGCGGTGCCTGCCCACACCGAAATGCACGACCCCTCCTCTGTACCGCATGCGGATCTTTGCTCCGAACCATGTCGTCGCCAAGTCCCGGTTCTGGTACTTCGTCTCTCAGCTGAAAAAGATGAAGAAGTCTTCTGGAGAGATTGTGTACTGTGGCCAGGTGCGTGATTAAAAGCCTAAAAACGTGGGAGGTTCTTAAGGAATTCAGGGTGATGTATGTGAAAGGAATATACAGGAATTGCTATTGGGGGTGAGACCGAAATTCACTTCGCCATCAGTTTCTGTGAAAAGGAGTTACAAATCTGGTTTTTTGAAAGTGGTGGTAAGTGTTCTATAAACTAAATACGTATTTTCCAACACTTCAAAATTATGAACCATGTCACTAGTCAGTGCTGCTGTCTTATTCTTGGATTTGCTTTGCTTCATTGGGCAGTATACCTTTTAAGAGACATCTGGACATTCATAATAGTGGGAGAGTGGACGTTTGTATGCTTATTCTCCTCTACCTTGATTGTTCCTGCTTCAGGAGCATTTTTTAAAGCTGAAGTCTTGTATCTTTCTTTCATGATGAATTGCTAAAACTACAGAATTACCCAGACTGAATTACCCAGACATAAATCCAGTTATGAGGTTAAAGGGAAAGAGAGCAAAAAGTTGGTTTTGACAGTAGAACTTAGAACAATGATTTTGTTAAAGCTCTAAAATATTTATTCTTAAAACTGTAAAGTGGTGATAGCGCTTTGTCTCTAACCACTTTCATGCTCTTCTGTTATTCCAGGTGTATGAGAAGTCCCCTCTGCGGGTAAAAAATTTTGGTATCTGGTTGCGCTATGATTCTCGTAGTGGAACCCACAACATGTACAGGGAGTACAGAGATTTGACCACAGCTGGTGCTGTCACTCAGTGCTGTAAGTATCTGTAAATGAGGTATAAAATGATAGCATCAATATATAACAGAAGATTAAATCTCAAACTGGGCATAAAGCGTGCTTAGTCCGTGGCAAGATAACTAAAACACTGGAAAAATAAAGTAGGGGCTTGCCAAAAAATTCTGTAGTTGTTTATGTATGTATATGTGGAATCTTATTTGTTACTAGTCTTTATACAGTTTCACTGACTGAAAATATTCCCGCTTCATCATGGTGGGACTTTCTACAATTCTAGTAATGAGTTTTACCATACAAACTGAGAGTATAAGGATCTTTTAAGTGCTACATGTATTTCTTGCACTATTTTTATTGGTTTATGATAATCAAATACATATTTTGCCAAGTCTTGTGGAAAGAATATTTGAGATATCATGTGGAACATACTAGCATCTGTCCTGTGGAGATGAAGTAAATTAAAAAAAAAATCACAGGAAAAAAATCTATAGTTTTTGTTACTCCAAGATCTCATTGTCTCAGTTCAGAGAGAGTTAAAGGTTGACCTGATTTCAGTCTGTTATGTGAAGTACTTGAGGGATAGACCGTTTCTATAGCTGATGCTGTTGATATTTTACTCCACAGTGTTATAAACACAACAGAATGCACATAAAAACCCAAAGAATATTGTTCTTAATAATGATATTCTTGTCATGTGTGCAAATATTAAACGTATCTTGTCGCCTTTCAAAAGCTGAAGTGCTGTTGAAAGTGAAATTTAAGGTTCTACATTACCTTACAATGATCCCTGTTATTTAACACACCGAAGGACTGCTTAAGAGACCAAGAAACTTATGTATCATGGTACAGTGACTGATACTTTTATGTTCAAGAATGCTTGTGGCAGGTAAGTTTTTCATAGGTATGTTAGGTCTTCATGGGAAACGTTGTAAGCACAATAGTATTTCAATAGGCATATCTTGTGGAACTAGCTATGGACATCTTGATTTGAACATACAGTGATTTGCGCTGCTGCAGGGAGGAATTTTCAGGTAGCCCTTGCACAGATGGCTTCCTCCCATTCTGAAAGCCTAAGCACGTGAGCTGAATATCAGTTTCTGTCACTGGTCAGTTTCAAGAAAAGTCAAGATATCCTCAGGTCTCGCCTTTACTTGCACCTTCCAGTAATTATACTTCAGTTTTGAGTCTGAATCAGAGGGACTTTTTTTGGTGCAAAAAATGAAACAGTCCCACCTATATTTCTTCTGTACATGTGTGCCTTCTTGAAATCAGGCAAGAGTAATAAAATGGCACTTTCTGTCTGGGAGGAGTTTGGTAATGAGTTACTGGAAGAATTTGCTGCTACCTGTTGGTTCCGTGATACTTGTACCATCACTTTACATACTAAATCCAGTATGATTTTAACTAAAGTTGATCAGAATTTTAGAAAGTCGTAGGTGGCACTATGAACGTTTATTGAAGAGGCGTTTGTAAGATTTTTGAACTAAAAATGTCCTTAAGATTAATTTTTTAATGAGTTCTCTTGTTACAGACCGTGATATGGGAGCCCGTCACCGTGCCCGTGCTCACTCTATTCAGATCATGAAGGTTGAGGAAATTGCTGCCAGCAAGTGCCGCAGACCAGCCGTCAAGCAGTTCCATGTAAGTGAACCAGCACTGCCGTGGCTGGTGGGTCCTGGTCCAACACTGGACTGGAAGAGGAGAGCTATCTTGTCTGGTACATGTTTGCTTCGCAGCCAGAAATAGGGAGGGAACCAAACTGGTATGCAGAGGTTTACAATTACGATATATTATGATCAAGGCTTCTAAAGCTAGAATTCTTTGGAAGAAAGTCACAATAAAGTGAATACATATTACAGTGCAGAAAACAGGCCTCTAATGGGCATTTCTTTAAAAAATGCAAAATTTAGGCATCTCTCCTAAGGCCTATGAAGTATATCTAATTTGTGGATGCATTACTTCTCTGTAAGTTATTCATGGAATACGGCTTGGTTATTTATTGCAAGCTGTTTTCTGTTGTTTATCTAATACCTCAATTAACACAGAACCATTTTTTCTTGCAGGATTCTAAAATCAAGTTCCCTCTGCCGCACAGAGTTCTGCGTCGCCAGCACAAACCACGTTTCACCACCAAGAGACCAAATACTTTCTATTAAATACAAAAGCATACCGTCAACTCTGTGTTGCAATAAAGGTCTTATTTGAACCTTTGACTCCCAGTTGTCTTTTGGAGACAGTGTCCTGACTCTGTAGAAATCTCCCCTCCTACTCTTTATTTTCTGTAAACCATTGGCAGCCTACTATTTACAGCTGTGATTGTCTTGAACAGGTGAATGTTTCACATGCTGATTTAAATTACCAAAATATCCCATCAATAAACCAAATTTTAATAACCAACTTTCCAGGTTGAGCAGCTGTACAATCCTACATGCATTTTGTCTCTTCGGCACACTGAGTAAACAGTTGAATTCAGGAAGAAGGCAGCTTTTGGTGCATGCAGAATTCAGACATGTCAACTTCAGTTAAGCTGCTTCAAAGTGTAAGCGTTTAAAGTTAAAACTAGTTCTAACCTGAACCTTTTCAAGGAATTAACTCAAGTATGCATACAGAGGTGCCTGGAAATGTGACGGAGGGCTTAGGCAGACTTACCTTTGTTATTAGATGAATGAAAACTAGGCAAATTAATTTTTAGATCCAACCCCAATCCTTAGTGTATAAAGCCACAGTAAAAAACTTGCAGGCGCTGTGTAGTTAAGGTTAATTAAGAAAGCTGTTCCACACCTAAAGCCAGTGTTTGCATCTAATGCCTGTTTTCAGTGATGGTGTGTTAGGAGTGTTTCCTGAACAAGAGGCAGTCAGTTACTTAAGCTTGTACATAGATCTTGCTGTTGTGAGAGAACTGATTCAGTGCTTTAGGTGCCAGCTTAAAAACAAATGGTGGTGTCAATAGGGTGCAGGGAAGGACCGTGCAGAGGGGAGCCTGGGAATGTTTTCATTCTGGGTTAGCTGGAGGGGACTGTCCATGTAAGGGCGGGTGGTTGTCCTGCAGACTTGGACTCATCAGTGCTGCCACAGCAGCCCCCTTTTCATTGCCTCACTGCCCTCTGGCTCAGCTTTGCACCTCGTCACTTCCATAGGGAATCAGTTCAGGGAGTTCATCTGTCCAAAACATGAACTGAAAAAAATGGCATTAATTTGGGCCATCCACTACATCCCAGTCATGAGGGAGGGGGGAACTATAAACCCAAAGCAACTGGAGGGTTCTGTGGGACTCAGGGTGGGAATAAAGGCATCAGAAAGACGTTGGTTTTTAGAACGTTTCAACTGAACGATTTAACATGAAAACGGGCTTCAGAGTTAAGTGAAAGCACAAAATGTAACAGGCAGGGTGGAGAAAACCTCAGCAGGAATCGGCGCCGGTGTGTCCAGCCCGAAAATACCAAGGCGCAGTACGGACGGGCGGACCTCTGGGGCTCCCGGGTCTCCCGCAGGCGGAGGGCTCTGGAATATCCCCGGGCTCTGGAATATCCCCGGACGCGCCGCTCCCGCTTTTTCCGCTGCCCCGCCCACGGCTACCGCGCGCACCGCCCGGTCACGTGACCCCGCCCCGCCCTTTGCCCGCCCCGCCTGTCACGTGCCGAGGGGCGGGCGCGAGTGAGATCCCGCGCGCGCGCGGGGGCCGACCCCGGAAGTGGCGGCCGCTGCGGAGGCGCCGGGCGGGATGGGGGAGTCGATCCCGCTGGGAGCGCCCGTGCCGGTGGAGCAGGCCGTGCTGGAGACCTTCTTCTCCCACCTGGGCATCTTCTCCTACGACAAGGCCAAGGACAACGTGGAGAAGGAGCGGGAGGCCAACAAGAGCGCAGGGTCCAGCTGGCTGGCGCTGCTGGCCGGGCTGGCGCACCTGGCGGCGGCCGAGAAGGCCTATCACAGCATGACCTTCCTGGGACAGAAGCTAGGTACCGCTCCGGGGGAGCAGGGACTGGCCCCGCCGCCTCGGGCCGCGGCTCTCCCGCCCCGCCCCGGGTGCGGCTCGGCGGGGGGAGCGTGCGGTGTGAGGCCGTGTCAGCCCGTGGGTGCACAGCGCTGGGCACCTGGGGGACCTGAGGGCTCTGCCTCGGCCCGCTGCGTGCCTGTGCCTCTGAAAGACAAGTGCTGGGTCAGCAAGTGTCCCTGGGCCCGGGGAGAAATCGGCTGTGCTGTTTGTGCTGCCGCTAAAGAATAAACAAGAATGCAGGTGCAGTGCAGGTGGCACGGTGGCTCCTGTGCCAGTCGATGTAGCTCTTCGCTGGCCGGCAGGCTACCTACTTGCCCTTCCCAAGATTTAACCAGAGGTATTTCTGTGCTGAGATGTTCTGGCTGAGATCTGGGCAAAGGTGAGCTCAGTGAGGTGACGGAAGGGTTAAAGCTTATATTAGATCTGCTTATGGGCAAGTACTTGGGGCTGGAGATAGCATCCTAAAAGTTGTTACTTGTGCAGACTCTGCAGGGTCTCAAGAAGCTTCGGCCACAATCTTGGCTGCTTGTTGCTTTCTCAGTGCATGAATAGAAAAATTCCAAACTGGCACAGGATGAGCTGTCATCATGTTGCCCTCTGGGCAAGGCTGCTTGTTTGAACTGCAGACAAGCATGGAAAATGGATCAAGGGATATGGGTCTGATGTGTAACAGTAAAGCATCAGGATAATTCTGCTTTGGTGTTTAAGTGGTGACTTGGAACTATTTTATAAGAAGGTCTTTATGGACAAAACTGTCTATAAGACTGACTTTAAAAAGTGTATTTGGTGCTTACAGAAAGGGTAAAATTGACAACAGAAGGGACAAAGTTTTGTTTGTTTATATACTTCATGAACAACTGCAATAGATGATTCTTCATTCGACCCATGACATGAGGGCTACTCATGGCTTAGGAAGGGAGCTATTTCACAGTGATATCCAGTTCTCTGCCTTTCTGCCTCAAATTGCTAAGGTCACCTTTGAGCGTTATATATGTAAAATGGATCCACCCTTACAAAATTTATAAGCAGTTTCAATGTAGAGTCTAAATTTGGAATCTTAAAAAGTTCCACCAGCCCAATCCCTGTGATCCTTGCTCTGCTGCAGCTGTTGAGTGCCACAGTGGCATATAAGGCCTTCTGTAAATAGAAAGTGTGAAATAAGGTTGGTACATTTGTGCAGTCTTTTGGTAGTGTAAAAGTTAAATATGCTTTACTTTGACCCTTTACTTCTGTCTTTTTTTCTTTTTTAAATTCCTCATAGTGTTGAGCAGGTAGAGAGAAGCACAGATGAGTTCTTTCCCCTTATCCCCTTCACCCCAGGTTTTAGTTATGGATTAACCTGCACTGTGGTCTCGCTGAGATAAAGTGTGACTGTTTTCCTTTTGAATTCTGGTTTATATTAAGAGCATGCAGGGATTAGGAAAATTTGATTTGTGCACACAAATGTCACATGATTCTGACTTAAAGATTGCTTTGCAAATTTGAGTGCTTTGTGACTGAAGAGGGGTTGGTAGGGCAGTTCTCCCCAAAAGATCTAGATGTAATTGATTCGATGGAGGCTATTGAAAGTTGATCAGTCGCATCATGATGACTTGATTTTTCTGACTCCCACAGATGACAGTATTTGCAGGTCATGTATCATAGTAGCAAATTTAACTGAACCCTTATTTTCTGAAAAGTCACACCATAACTGAGGGAGTTGAAGTTTTGCAGCAGTCATTGGCTGCCGAGATACGAACTGGACAAGAGTAGCTTGTGTGAAATTACATAAAGCGCTTCTGAGCATATGCCATGACAAACTACTGAATTTTGTGTCTTGGTTAAAAGAAATACTGTGATCAAACAACACTTAGGAACAGCTAGAGGAGAAAAGGCGTGGTTATGTAGAATTTTCCAGTATTGCTGTCTATCTTTGCTGTCCCTGGATTTTGGTAATACCTCCATATTTATCTGAACAGGTGGTCAGTCATTCTTCAGCCGAAAGGACTCCATCCGAACCATCTACACATCTCTGCATAATGAGCTGAAGAAGGTGGTGGCGACGGGTCACAATGCACTAGGAGGAACAGCTCCTCACTTGGAAGAGCTGCTTTCTCACCTGTCTGAACAGCTCTGTTTTTTTGTTCAGGCTCGGATGGAAATTGCTGACTTCTATGAAAAAATGTACACGCTCAGCACCCAAAAGTTCATTAACTCTGAGGAACTGGTAAACATTTTGGAATCCATCTTAAAGAAATACAGCTCAAGGTCAGTGCTTGTTTGCTGGCAGTACGTACACGACCGTGATCTGTAATAACAGATGTTGAAGTTCAAAGCAAACCTAAAGACTTTGCTGTCCTTTGACTGCTGAGCAGCACGGCCCCTTCATGAATCCATGTGTGAAGTCTGTGTTGGCCAGCAGCATCGGATGCATGAAATTTCAAAATATGACTCCTTCAAAGAAGAAAAATAACAAAAAGAGAGTGTTTCTACTCACGGTGTTCTAGGAGCCTTCCTCCCTATTCCTTAATACTCAGTATATTTGTTTCCAGCAGAGAGGAAAAGTGATTTTCATTTTATATAAGGTTGCAAGGCTTCTTGTGCTTTATCTTTGGGAGGGGAGAGGAAACAAGTCTTAATTCCATATGAACTTCAGTAAAAGTGACATATAAATAAAACAAGATACTTGTGTGACAGTTTTACTTTTTAGGCTAGAATGTATGTCTGCTCAATTCTAAAAGCTTCACCATAGCTATGTGGCCTACCTGGAAGGGTTTTATGGTGCTCTGTGAACCACTTCTCTTGAGAGGTCTTGGAGCCAGTAGAAGAAGCACCTCTGAACCTTCAATCCCATTATTGTGTGTTGAAGTTAGGATCTAATAGTTCCTGTTAAAAGAATCCCAGGATGTTTGTAAATTATGCTGGGGTGGGTACTGCACATCTGACATATGTGAGCCTTGAAAGTGATGACAGTTAAAAAAAGAGATAATTTTTGAATGCTTGTCAACACACTCAATTTCTACCTCTTCATTTTAAACCAAACCAAATCTTCATTAGTGAAATAGTGTCTAAGAAGATATTTGGAGAGAATATTCTTAGGTCTTACTTTTTTTTTGGTTATGATAAGTGTTCACCTAGGAAAAATCAAAATGATCCAGTGCTGCTTTCTCATATTCCAAATTTAAACACTGCAGGTGACTTCCTTATTTTTTAGGAATAACCTTAGAAAATTGCTACATAAGTTTGCAATTCGAAAATCAAAACTAGTCTAATATGGTCTTACTAGTGATTTTTTACAGTTCTTGGCTTCTGAACCCTTACAAAGGGTCAGGGCTGTTAGTCCAATAAAAAGCTGGAACTTACATATATTTTCCTTGGTGGGATAAACATGAAGGAGGAAAGGGAAGTATGCTGGGAGGAGGCTTTTTTGAAAAGCTGATTCATGTTGTACACAAACCATTGCCATCTGTTCTGAGCATGTGCTGAATCAACAGCATGGTTAAAAATCTGAAAACCAAAACTCATACTTTGATGAATTGATTGGAGATTGTTGGATACAAAATGTTTTACTATCCTATTTAAATAAATTTCAGTGACACCTCTGTACTTCTAAGGCATTGTTATATAATGTGTTTATATAACATACATTATATAATTATATGTATAATAACATCCTCCAAAAAATAAGTATTGTCTCCCTGGGAAAAATGCTGATGTTTTTGCTTTGGGTTAATGAGCAATTCTAAGATGGAGACAATATAAGATGCTGTTAGAGCTGATTCAGTAGCTGCAGTGTGGTCCTCCCCAGTCACATAGTGAATATTTCTGAAAAAAAGTGGGCATAATGGTATCTTCCTTTTGTCCTTTCTTTCAGTTTTTTCATATGTCAGGTCAGTTTCTGGAAGCTGTTATGTTGATGTGTACTGGCTGGAAGGCATTTCTGATTTACAGTCTGTTGACCCTCTCAGGTGAAAGGTCAAATAAACTCATCCTTACCCAGTCTCTTTCCTCTGCTAGTATATTCCTCATTTGTCGTTGAGGATGTGTGCCATTATTTCAGTCAGCTGTGCTAAGGCCAGACAGGGCCTGTGTTTTTTAGATAAGTTCTGGTTTCAGTTTCTTTCCTTTGCATGTAAAAATAGCTGTTCAGATGGTGTAGATAAAATGGTTGCTGGTAAAGGAACGAGTGAATTAATTGACTGTTAAGAAGTCATATTGTCTGTATTTGAAAAATCATTAGTTATTGAGGATTTTGTTACTTTTATTTTTTGTCACTACTTATTGCTGACTCATACACAGCCAATACTAGACATTTTCCTTTCCATTTCTCTGTAGAATACAGCCAGAGAAGTAACTTTTCCTGAAATTTTTGACTGTTGGTTTGGGTGGGATCTTAACTGAAATAATTAAAACAGTGTCAGAAGCAGGTTCATTTAAAAGCTTAGTATAAAATGCATAAGTAACCAGAAAACCTATTTTGATGTAATAATTTTTAAGTGTTGAATGTTCTTCATCCAGTCAACATTTTGTAAATACATGCATGAATGTGGAAATAGAAAAAAGTGTGACTTCTTCATAGTCTGCAAAGCAAAACTCTTACCATCCCTCCACTTTCAAGAATGATTAGGGGGGGAAAATTTCCCAGTGTCTTTTTAAGTTTTTAGCACTCTGGCTTATTAAAATATCATAAAAACATGTCTGTTTTGCATGATACTGGGCTAAGATGCTTCTGTGTTACAAAACTCAATTATATATCAGCAGATATAGTTAGTACATAACTTGTTAGCTTACTTTGCAACCATATTAGCATACTCTGCAAGCTTCTCAGCTGTGGCTGAAGTGTGTATTGATTAAAACAGTTTAGCAAATCTTGCTGTGCAGGGAGACATTAAGAAAACCATGAAGCAAACTAGAAATGGGAAACTGTACATCATAATGTTAATCCAGGAGACTTTAGCAGTACTGCCTTAGTTTAGATTTTTAAACTGCTTTTAAGGTTGAAAAATAACCTTCTTGGTCTGACTGCAAGTGTGTTGAAACCACTGTGCTGTGATGGGACTGTCTGGAACAAATAATCTTGTATAATGCTTTTTTACAGTCTTCATAATACACGGCAACAAAATTGGTTTGTTTGGCGAATACCAAAACCATTGGAGATCTTTAGTGTTGACTGTTATCAGAATATTATTTTTAATTGACTGTTGTTCAGTTTCTCAAAGAAATGTAAATATGCTCTAGCCTTCTCAGAGTGGCCAGTGAGCACTTATCTCTGCTCTAGCAGGTTGATCTGATGGTTGCTGATATATACTGTGTACAGAAGGTGACCTGTTTGCACAACGTGGTGCATCTGCTGGTTTATGATATTTCATTGTCTTCAAATAAATATGGATTTGCATCTTGATAGCAAATCCTTTCAAGACTCAAATTGTGGCTTTCAAAAAAAGAACTGCTTAAAAATAGTGACAGAATTGTCAGACAATTTTCCCAAGCCTAAGAATTAATGTTTTGACAAGAACCTAGTAGAAAGTCAAATTTAAAATAGTGAAGGATGAGGGTAAGAAAAGCATAAAATTTTCATTCTCTCTTCTACTCCACAATAAAATGAAGTGTTTTGGTTTTGAACCAGCTATGTCCAAAATGGGTTTTATGTATTGTGTCCTGAAAGCTGAAGGGAGTAATGGCATTGCTTTAGCTTTGTCTGAAGAGGAGCTGTTAAAAGTTGTGAAAAATCAATATGAACTTCTTTGCTTTAAACCAATAACAAGACCCAAGATATTTTTCTGAAGTGAGAGGATAAATCTGTCTTTACTTAAATGGAAACCTCATCGAGTCTTATCTTTGAACTATTGGTTGTTCTTTGTTGAAGACCTCTTTAAGTATCCTAAACGCTAATGAGGGAACACATTTACTAAAAAGGCAACTTCTGTCTTTGCCGAAGGCATATTCTTCTAAAGTTACATATCTTACATTACAGTTTTTCAGTTTCAATTAAGTATGTTATTATCAATAATGTTATAAATTCACAAATAATGCGAGTATCATGGGAAGAGAGGTAGGCTGTATCTGTTTTCTTTTTCCCCTGATGTTTAGAAAAAATAAAATGAGAAAGCTGTAGAATAGATTTTTAAAATTCCATTTCTTCAAGATTTGTTCTAATGGCAGGATTGTTCTTGTGAATAATATGTGCATTGAGTTGTTGGTTTTGCTTGGGTTTTTTTTTAACGTCTTTTAAATTGAGAGCTGATTTTTTACCTGAGTTTTTAGTAAGTGAAATTGGTGGTTGTACTGTCTTCATTGTGATATGATAAAATCCTGCCAAATGTTTTTTCCGCTCATTGCTTTTAGTATACCAAAAAAACCCTCAACTTGTCTTCCTCATAGCTTTCCTATACAAGCAACAGATTTATAACATAATTCCTTTGATTTGACTTAACATCTTTCTGTTATTCAAGAAATATCAAGATGTATTTTATTGCAAGAAGGGGTTTAAAGTTGGAAAAAGACCAGAATGGTGTTATAGTAGTTAATGGATCAAGATAAACAATTATTGTTCTTGAACTGATGAAATGTAACTCCCGTGCTTTGATAGAGAAATGTCTGACGGCTGTTTTTTGTCAAATGTGAAGTGCTGTTTGTTCCTGAAAATATTTACCCTAATTATGTAAAAAGAACTTTTTTTAAAATTAACTATTATTATTTAGTTTAAGCTTTGCTCTGCTTTCGTGTTTTATCTTCTGTCTGTTAACTGGCAAATGCTATCTGATTATTTCACTGTTGTGTAACAGCAGTTCTCATGTCTTGACTAAAATTATGTTTTCTAGATTTCATCATCCAATCCTCAGTCCTCTTGAAAGCAGTTTCCAGCTGGAAGTAGATGTACTTGCACATCTCTTAAAGGCTCAGGCTCAGATCTCAGAGTGGAAGTTCCTTCCGTCCCTGGTCAACTTGCACAGTGCTCACACAAAACTACAGACTTGGGGTCAGATTTTTGAGAAGCAGCGAGAGACCAAGAAGCACCTGTTTGGAGGGCAGTCTCAGAAGGCTGTGCAACCTCCACACCTCTTCCTCTGGCTGATGAAGCTCAAAAACATTCTCCTTGCCAAGTTTAGCTTTTACTTTCATGAGGCCCTTAGTCGACAGACAACAGCATCTGAAATGAAAACTTTGACTGCTAAAACAAATCCTGATTACTTTGGGAAAATTTCCAGCTTCATCCGGAAGTATGATGCCGTCAATGTTTCCTTAATTTTTGACAATCGTGGATCAGAGAGTTTCCAGGGACATGGTTATCACCATCCCCATTCGTACAGGGAAGCCCCCAAAGGAGTGGATCAGTACCCTGCAGTGGTGTCTCTGCCCAGTGACAGGCCTGTTATGCACTGGCCCAATGTGATCATGATTATGACTGATAGAACCTCTGACCTCAACAGCTTGGAGAAGGTTGTTCACTTCTATGATGACAAAGTCCAAAGCACGTACTTTCTGACTCGCCCTGAACCTCACTTTACCATTGTAGTTATTTTTGAGTCCAAGAAGTCAGAAAGGGACTATCATTTTATTTCTTTTCTCAATGAAATTTCACATTCCCTTAAGAACTCCAAAGCTTTTGCGAGCTTGAAACCTGGATCCAAAGGGTGAAATACAGTCTATTTACAAGTTGTCAAGGCAGTATGTCAGCCTTGAGGGAGCTGTAGCTTGCAAGAGTTACATAAATTCATTATTCTCAGTCTAATTGAAAAGGAACCTTTTTTTAATGTTATAAGTTCCTTTCTTTTAAGCTAACAGACACTTGAAAAGTATTTTTGGGCAGTACTCTGTGGGGCAATTTAATTGTGGGGTGCCAAATAGCCACGGTGGGATTTTTTTGATGTGGTTTTCAATATTCAGTATGATTTATTTTTTCAGTCCACAATTTTGTTGCCTGTATCAGAAAGGAATATATGCACTTTATCTTAGTCTGATCATTGATTGTCTTCTACAGAGTTTACTGAAAATGTGGTAAGGATGTATCTTTTCAGAAAACTGCATTGCCTGACAGGAATGATTTCTGGGAACTAACTGCTGATGCAAGGGAATATTAGAAAAAGTGAACCTGCAAGGATACATTTTAAATAAAAATATGAGAATCAGGAAAAGCACTATTGTTAATTATAATTTAGTTTTCAAAGTGTTGAAAATGATAATTGAGGTCTCTGACACTCTCTGATAAGCACCAGTCTTGATTCTAAATGCCCTGTGTCACAAAACTCAGTCGTTGCTCCAGAACTTGGGCTGGGGCAAGAAAAACTGCAGCATGGGCTGGAAGGCCAGTATTCACTGGAGCACTGTGACAGTAATAGTCTTGGCTCAGACTGTCTGAAGGAGACAAGCTGAAGTTGTGCAGCTGTTCTAGAAGGAGCAGCTCCATGGAGAAAGCAGCAAAGCTGTTTTCAAATTGTACTTTTTTCTGGCTAACTTGAAAGAGAAGCAAAGAAAGGTAGTAGGAAATGCCCTTTGTAAATGATTTATTTTCTAGTTTGCTGTTCATCTCAACCTGGATTTGTTTTCAGATTTTTATACGTGTATAGTTTTTCCAATCTGTTCGGTTTTAAATAATTTAATAATTAAGCCAAAACACTGGGGATTTGGATCTAAATATATAGCCTATGCAGTATGTTTACCTCATTCTAAAATGTCTCCTTCACCACTTCTAGACTGCAGGTTTGGAAAAAATGTGTTTTCTAGTTACCCTGAAAGTGCTTTAATTTGGAAATCAGTATTTCCAAATACAATAAAAGGGTCAATTTGGCTGTACCTGTAGCCTTACATTGCAAGGTTCTTCTAACTGTTAGCTATGCAGTTGTGCACGTGCTTTTGTGGGGATTCGGGAGGACTTTTATACAAATAAAAGTGTAGTAAAATTAAGTCGTTAGTTGACACTTTGTAAGGTATAACATCAGGTTTAATTTAAAAGGGAGTTTAGGTCAAAATGCTGGTTTCTGTTAAGACTGAAATATGAAAGGTACCATTGCAAACATGTCTTTTAATGATCCCCTTTCTCTTCCACTAAAGGTTCTGGTAACTTGTCTTGCCTGGCTGCAGTGCTGACTTTTTAACAGTCATATAAGCACATTCTGTTATCAAAATACAAGCTCCGACTTGCCACTTTGTGCCAAATGGAGCCTTCCATGCTTTGCTGTAACTGTTGTGAATATCTGCTCTATTGCCTTTCACCTGAAGTCTCGGTCTGACTTAAGCATCACTCTCAAAATCTCAGTTTGCTCTTTACCATTGGAAAAATAACCAGAGTTGCAAATATACCAGAAACCGGAGGGTACCTGTTTGTCACAGCGTTACACTTTGCAGCTTGAACTGCTCTTAACAGGACAATGTTGCAAATGACAGTATTGAGAGAGTTCGAGTGCTTCCCTCCCTGGGACAGTGACCTTGTAATAACATTGTAATTTTGACTTCCTCAGCCTGAGTAACAAGAGACTGTTGCCAGAACTGATTCGCAGTCTTCAGCAGTGTAATAAAGTGTTGTACAAAGTCTATCTGCCTGTACAGTATTTCCCTATCATACTAACTATCTGTGGAAAAGGGGAGAGAAAACAGGAAAGAGGCTGTGCGTGGTACAGACACCTTCTTGCTCATTTCTGAGTTGCAGGGGATGAGTTGGAAGAAGTGAAAGAGAAATCTGGTGCCCTTTGGAGCAGCTTTTAGCAGTTGTTGAAATGGCTAGAGGCTGTTCCCAGTGGTTTTGATGGGGAGAGGAAGAGGAGGTGACTGTTCAGCAGACCTGGTAGTTCACTTCACATGCTCCTGCCACTGTGTTTGGCAAGTGGTGTCTCAGAACAGGGAAGGGATGTTAGGTGATGTTTCTGTGCAGGAGGAGGTGAGACTTGCTTTGCCTTTTATCAGTTCTAAGGTGGTTTGCTGCAGTTTTCTTCACAGAATCTTGGAGAAGCAGCCAGAGGGGCCTTCTGACTCATGGGTAAGAATTTCTGAATATTTTGGTTGATGAAGGACCAAAAGGAGCCATAACCATTACCCTCATAGTGTGGGAAGGGAGGGAATGGGAGAGATGTGCAGGCAGTGGAGAGAATTGGGTGCTGGAGAAACTTTTTGTGGAGCTGTCTGGGTCTCAGAGTCCTGTCCCTTGTTAAGATCTCAGCCTTAAACTAATACAACATGGGAAGTAGAAAATTGAGGCTGTAGGAAGTAGCTTAGAGGAAAACAGGTGAAGCTGAAGAGAGGTGACACTAGAATCAGTATCAAATAGTTTTGCAGAGTTGAGGTGTGCCATACCAAAAACTGTGTGCTGTGTGAGTGCGTGTGATGAATGAAGATAGATTTGTCAGACCCATGAAAACTTCTGGCACAGTTCTTATTTGTTGCTTTGAGGGGTTTGTTTTAAATTACAAACGAGGTAATTGGGAGACTGAATTGGCTTCAAACTGAAAGGGGAAATTTAGGTTAGATATGTGGAAGAAATTCTTTGCTGTGAGGGTGGTGAGGCACTGGAACAGGTTGCCCAGAGAAGTTATGGATGCCATACTTGAACTGGTGTTCAAGACCAAGTTGGATGGAGGTTTGAGCAACCTAATCTATAGTTCAAGGTGTCCCTGCCCATAGCAAAGGGGTTGGAACTAGATGATTTTGAAAGTCCCTTCCAACCAACACCATTCTATAATTCTATATCAATGATGTAAAATTGGCTAGATCAGTAATGAAAACCTGCATAATTAAGCGAGGCGGAGAACATGTCTGTGGAGTAAGTAAAGGAACCAGAAACTCAGTAACTGGAAAAAAATATATTCATTACTAACTTCAGTACTGGAAAGATTGATCAGTCTCTTTACTGTAAGAACTGGAAAACAAATACACTTTTGCTGAACTGGGTGATATCCTATCTGTCAGCTTTTCCTCTGCACCAGTGTAGCTAAGCAAGATTAGATGTACTAATGTGCTTTAAAAGTCTTGTATAAATTACTGCTTCAAATGCAAGATATAAAGATACTTATGATGGTGTACTGAAAGCCATCACTTCCAGATGTATTTAAGCGTTTTTAAAACAGGTACTGAGATTTGATATTGCAAGTGCCACTCAGATTGCTTATAATAGCAGTGTGGAAGCTTATCTTGCAGTAAATTGCATGTACCTCATCACTTACTTCAGTCCATGAGGATTTTGGCAGAATATTTAACTCAGTATCCTTTTGCCTGCAGTGTGATTTTTGACAGCAAATGTATTCTAAGAACTCTTAGGTGTTTTATGTTTATGTCTTGTAAGCTGTTTTCTTCAACATATGTTCAGGTTTTTGTCTTGAATAAAATGTCTTTCCTTTTCTCCTGCCTTTGCATGAAGAGAGTGCAGGGAATGGAGACTATTAATATATTTTGTATTGTACTGCAAAGGACCGCAATACATGCATAATGTAGATAATATTCAGGTTTTAATGATCTAAAAGTAATGTAAGTTCCTGGTACCTATTTGAATACTAACACTTATGGCTTATCTAATTGACTTAAAAAAAAAAAAAAAGGCTACATTAGAACTGGAATCAATTTTATGGCACTCACACAGTTAATTATTGCTCTGGCATGCTCTTCATACACAAACATTTTGAAACATTCGTGATCGTTCTGGTGGTAGTTCTTTGATATAATTTATCTGAGGATTCCTTGTGTACATGCCATAGGTCAGTCTGCTGCAGCCTTGTACTGCACTGGGTTCTGATCTTCTCATAACCAAGCTTTGCTTAAGAAAATCAACAATGTGCTATATTTCATTTCTCAAGTCCTGTTTTTTGGCCCAGTGCCTACAACCCCTCCTCTTGCAGTAAGCACAGCTTGGCTGGTCCTGGGCTTGTGGTTCGCTTTGTGGTTGCTTCCAGAAGTGCTGGCACTAAGCTTAGTTGGCTGGAAAATGTGGTGTTTCTGCCCTGTTTTCTCCGTAAGTCCTGTTTTCAGACTCTCAGAGATGTCAGCCAGCCCTGCTGAGGTGGGTGCAACTGAGGCCAAGCACTGCTTATTTGCTGGGGCTCTGCCTGAGCGGTCAGTGTCCTGCCCACTGGGGACAGCGGCTGTGGCTCAGCAGGGATGGCCTTCGGGCTGCAATTGTGCAAAGGCAGGAGCCGTTATGGGAAGAGCAGGAGAGGCTCTGGAAATGAGAATGCTGACAAAGGACAGCAATAGCATAATGCTTTGCAGAGCAGGCAGAAACAATATAGAAGTCAAATGCAAGATGGAATTGGACTTTGATTTCCTGTTAGCAAAGGACTGATTTAAAGATTAAGTCTCCTTTGGAGGATAAAGGTATCAGATTTTTGCCATGAAATTACTTCAGGTACTCAGTCATTTTCCTCCAGGAACTGCCTCTTTCCCTCTCTTGTGCATGAATGCATTCAACATATTGCCTGACTTATTTTTGCAATTGTTATGGGGCTTTTCTGTGAGAGTTTGCAGGCCTGAGTTTGGTTCTTCCCTAACTTTCAATGTGGCATAGCAGCTGGGTTTGTGGTAGGGTAACAAAGTTTTCCACCTTGTAGCTGGGACCTAGCTGTGCCCTGGCCGCACATGGCAGCATGAGAAGAGCAAAATGTGGGAGGAGACAAGTCACTACAAGATGGGCTGGAGCCGGTGACAGCTCTGGGACAGACAGGCAAGGAGAAAACAGATGCTGAAGGACTGCCTTGCAGATGGATTGTGAGCAGAAGGTTTCTGTTGGCCCCTCTGTGTTGTGGCCTAATTTCACAGGAATCTGTATAAATTTTATGTCCTGAAAAAGCTACGGTAGACCCCGCCTGCAGTTGCAGCTGCTTGTTTTAATGTGACTTCTTTGAAATAACTATAGTGTTTCCAGGATGGTGGTATTTAATCTCTAGGTACCAACAATCTTGGCAAAGTGGCTGTTCTTGGGCAGGTGATTAAGACAACCTTTGTGGTATCGCACTGTTAGATGGGATATGCTGGTACAGTGCTATAAGCTAACATCTGAAGCTTCAGAGCGGTGCAGTGTTGTGCTTTATTTGTGCAGCTCACTGCTGATAAGATAGAATATTTAGTGGCACTAAACCTTTGGCTCTGTGGTGTATGCTTTGTTTGCTACAAAGGTACTGAGAGGATTGAATTCTTCAGATCAGAGCCATAAAGAGCCAGCATCGCCATGTTCCTGCACTGGGATGCACAACATGGAACCAAGAATTGTAAATTTTCTGTGGAAAGGATGATGTGATCTTTAGCAAAATGAGGGCCAGTGAGAGATGCTAAGGGAGGCTGGAGGTGGCTAATTCCCAACCTTTGATTTTTTGTCTTGGAGTTAGTCCTCTCTGGGAACACAAGCAGAGGGCGTTGTCTCCTCTAGTACAGAATGGCCTGACAGTCTCTTGAGCTTTTACTTAGTAAAATGTCATACCCAAGTTCAATGTAGTCTTTGACCAGAGGATTCCAAGTCAACTTCTCATTCTTTTCTGTGGTTGTGCAGATGTTCAGCAGACCCTCCAATTATTTCCCCTGCTTTCTCAGGTGAGGAGTAAACTTCCTCTCCCTGGATTATTCTCTTGGCAAATGGGGGATGAGAAGTTCAATTGTCTGAAGAGGAGAGACTCATCTGCTTTGTGGGTGTGTGCAATCATCACTGTGTGAACAGTGAACAGTAACAAAAGGACCACCCTACCTTCAGGTGGATCAAGGGTAGTGTCTGTAGCTTGGAGTTGCACATCCTCCCAGTGCACTTGGGTCTGGTTCTTCAGGGACTGGTAGTGATGCTTCACCAAGGACTGCCTGTGACTGCCTGAGACCTCCATATCATCTAGAGGTAAAACTCCAGGAATGTACAAGGCTTAAAGAATGAAAACTTGGGTTATGGTACCATGCATTTTATGTGAGGGATCAACATTAGACTTGTAGCTGAGACTGCTTTTGCCTCCAGCAGTACAGCTGGCTCATGTCCCCACTCTGAGAGATGCCAGCTCTTGTCAGAGGGAATGGAGTGGGGGTTTGGGAGCACTAACAGGTTTAGCCTTCTGCTTTTAATCTGATGATGCAAATATGTCCAAACTGTTCAAAAAAGTTGGTGGATTATTCCCATTCTAGGTGTAGAGCTTGCCTCTGAGTAAAGTGCCTGGAGCTCTGCTGAAGGCAAGATGTGTAAGCTGAATAAAAGCTATCTTTCTCTTTTCTTCATGCATCCCTGTCCAGAGAGAAAGAAATTACTTTGAACTGTCAATGGATAATAGCTTTTGGGGAAAAACCTGATCCTCATTTATCGTTACAGAAGCAAGGACTTACTGCAGTGAATCAAGTCTCCACCCCACCCTCCTAAGAAATTTATCTACAATTTCACCGGCAAATTCAATACAGAGAAATGTAGCTGATGAGCCATCTCATGAAGTTATACTCTGCACTCAGGTTGGCTTTGCTTGGAGGACTCCAAAATTTTGTACACTGAGTTTTTCCAACACAGCGGTTGCCTCAAGCTGGCTGACCTGCTGACTGTACCTCACGGTGAGAACGTGGGAGGCAAATTTCCAAAATTGTGCATTACTCACTCTCAGGTATAAAAATAGATGGGTATAAATCTTGGTCTAGCCTAGTGGGATTTGTGGCACTAATTTTTCTTGCTGTCCCCACAGACTGAAATATCCCTTAGATGTAAGGCTCTCAATATCTAAATATGCTGTGGATGCCTCAGGCTCATCTATACTTAGGAATGATTTGTTAAAACAGTGGCTACTACATTAGGAATGGGTCATTCTAATTGTTTCTGACTGAAATTATAAGAGAACGGTGAAAAAAAAATCCCACCACCACCTTATTGCTGAGTTTGTAGTATGTCCAAGAAGGAGGTGCAAGTTTAGAGACAGAATAATCACAAGCTCTTGCCATAATCTACCTATAAAGGTGTCAACCAAAGTATCTTCAGGGGGCTGATAAGGTAACAATATATTGAAAGAGTAAGGCTCATGCTTCAGAGTGTAATTTGCTCACCAAGCACTGAGGGAATCATCTATCTGCATGGTTATTCTGCAACTGTGCATGAAAGGGACTTTATTGTTTTATGCTTTTCACAGTAGTGTTTTCTTAAGCACTTATTTTTATAAGTTATGCTTGGAAAGAGCCATATACAGCTTTTTCCAAAGCTTAGGAGATTCACGGACTGCAGAGTGTGGGCCCTTAATTCAGTGCAGGTAAACAAATTCCTACTTGCAATTTTTGTACCATTTCTTAATGCATGTGATCAATATGTTAAATGGCATTTTTGCCTCAGTAAAGCCGAACAACTGCCACTAGAGGGTGGTGTTAATACAAAAAGAAAAAAGTAATTTGTAATGTCTTTCCAGAATAAAATTATTTATGCTCTCCTACACATTTATAAACGTGGGATAGATTTTACTGCTCGAGTCAGATTTGTTTGAATCTTTTTGGCTTTTTTCCCCATAGAGTGATTTATGTAGTTCTGTTTCAGCTGTAAACAGCAATAGTGGGTATCTTGTTTCATACCTTAATGTATATATAAATACTAAAACGGTGTTGTTTCACATTCTTTGTGAGAAACTTTGATATTGAATTGCAAAGAAAAAACTATAAAAGAGGTTTTGTGATTTTTTTTCTCTTAAAAACTACCCTTCACTTAAAATTCAACTTCCATTTTGGAAAAGAGGGAGTGGGGTTTTTTCTTCCTTGCCTTTTTCTTCCCAAACAGTGGGAAAACTACATATTATTGTTTACCAAGGCAGTGCAGTCTGACCTGTTAAAGGCCACGTAGGGAGCATTAGGCTAGGGTTTAAGCCTAATGCAAAGTAATAGGATTTTGATAGTCTAATGTGGGCAGAGCTATTATGGTATATAACTATATGTATATATACATATAGTATAACAGTGTGTGTTTGTGTGTGTATATATATATATATATGAAATATGGTATAACCATAGGTATATGGTATATGACCATATATGTCTGATATATGATTATACTGTACTAGCCAAAGTGGGGTTATACCACACCAACCCTGAGCATTGGAGGCTGAGGTGCAGGGATGGGGCAGTGCAAGGGATGGGTGGTTCAGACCCTGGGGCCAGTGTTGTGCTGCTTTGGGTCACCACAGAACCATAGAACGGTTTGTGTTGGAAGGGACCTTAAAGATCATCTAGTTCCAACCCCTTGCCATGGCCAGAAACATCTTCCACCTTTCACAAGCCCCACGAGATGCTGCTGGGTGTGCTTGGGCGCAAGGGCTGTGGGCAGGTGCCTGTGCCACTCCACCCCTTCCCTTTGGCATAGAGACAGGGAGTTTGCCAGTGCTACAGCCTGCACCAGCCCCAAGAAGAACCTGCAGGAGGCAAAGGAGGGGTGTGAGAAATGAAGGGAAAGTGGAGGAGACACAAGGGTCAAAGAAGGAGCAGCCAACAGGGACCTTGTCTTCTCCCATCTGTCCTCCAAGAGGAAGCACTTGCAGCATTTGATGCAGGCATGGGCTTGCTATGGCAGGGAGTCATGTCAGGATGGTGCCCCCAGACCACCATAAACCGCTCCAAACCTATTGCATCCTCTTGTGATGGCAGCCAAAGTTGTGCTTCACCCTCTGCCCCCAGACTGGGTAAAAACTCTGTAATAATATTTATTTTTCTTACTTCCATTTTGGAAGGTAGCTGGATGAAAAACATTATCTAGCATTCAAACTTTTGGGCTTTGCTGTGCTCTGAAAAGCATTAGTGTGTGTTTCCCTGTTGCTGTTTTACATCACTGCACACAATGACTACACTGCCAGGGAGGCAGTCTCCCAGGCTGAGCTGGAGTATTAAAATGATAATCACGTGGGTTTTGGTGGTGCACAGTAAACGCATTCCTGCACCATGACGATGTTGAAATCATGGCTCTTCAGGGGACAGGACGGTGCCTTTCAACTGATACTGTGACTGCGTGTCTAGGATGCAAATGCAGCATGTAAAGCCACCCCATGGTGAGCTGGATTAATGGAACAGATTTTCAATGACTCATTGGGAAGATGAAATTTTCTACTTGCATTTAATCTTAGCCTAATAAATCACTCAGGGGAAAAAAAACCACAAAACCCAACAGTTAAATGCATGAAATTAGTGCTCTGATGTTGAGACAGACTTGGATTTGGAGAACTGGCGGTGGTGGGAAGCTTGGCTGACAGTGTGGGGCTTGAGGGAACAGGGAAGGAGGTTGGATTAAATTGCAAAGATAAATTGGGGTGGGAGCAGCTGGAGGGCAGAGTTGTGTCCCCCAGTGGCTCCTCCTCCTTTGCATGTTGACCACTGTGTGTGTGGTTAAAAACTAATGATGTTCAGCCAGTTACTATAGCAATGGTGTGGCATGAGTTGTCATGGTGATGGAGCAGAATTTTTCATCACGTTTCTGCAGGAGGGTGATGGATGCCATTTTAGGGGCTCTGAACTTGACCATTTGCTTCATATCTTTTTCCTTGGTAGAAACACTTGCACAACTGTAGTCAGCGAACATGTCCTCCCAGTACCATTACCTGATTTTTCATGTTCTGATGCTAAATTCTTCTTCCACATTTTTAAAGTTAAGAACACTCTGCTAAACCATAAATTGCTAAGTCTAACCTAATTATATGCACTATTATTATACAAGAGGTGTTAATAAAACATACTTCTGCTACTAAGGCTGTTTCTGGACGCTTAATTTTGTGTGTGTTCTTCACCTCTTTATCTGCCCATGATACAACTCAATAGGACATTGGTGCCCATTTGAAAAAGAAAATTAAGCTGATCTGAAGTCAGTTTGCTTCAAATACTCCCATTTAGGACAGAATAATCACAGAATATGTTGAGTTGGAGGAGACCCACAAGAATCATTGAGTCTAAATTCTTAACCCTGCACAGGACCACCCCCAAGAGTCACACCGTGTGCCTGAGTATCATCCAAATGCTTCTTGAACTCCGTTAGGCTTGGTGCTGTAACTACTGCCCTGGAGAGCCTGTTCTAGCATCTAACCACCCCTTGGGTGAAGAATCTCTTTCTAATATCCAACCTAAACCTCCCTGACACAACTTCAGACCATTTCCTTGGGTTCTGTCACTGGTAACCACAAAGAAGAGATCAGTGTCTGCCCTTCCTCTTCTCCTCCTGAGGATGTTGTAACTGCAATGAGGTCTCCCCTCAGTCTCCTCTTCTCCAGGCTGAAGAGACAAAGTGCCCTCAGCCACTCCTCATATGGCTTCCCCTCAAGCTCCTTCACCATCTTCATTGCCCTCCTTTGGACACTCTCTAACATGTCCTTCTTATGTTGCCGTGCCCAAAACTGCACACAATATTCAGGGTGAGGCCACCCCAGTGCAGAGCAGAGCAGGACAATCCCCTCCCTTGACCGGCTGGCGATGCTTTGCCTGCTGCCCCCCAGGACATGGTTGGCCCTCCTGGCTGTCAGGGCACTGCTGACTCATGTTTAACTTGCCATCAACCAGGACCCCCAGGTCCCTTTTCATGGCACTGCTTTCCAGCATCTCATTCCCCAGTCTGTATGAACATCCAGGGTTGCCCCATCCCAGGTGCAGAATCTGGCACTTTCCCTTGTTGAACTTCGTATAGTTTCAACATGATGTATGTGCAGCCCTGGAAATGCATCTTTTTTTGCAGTTTTATTTAAATTGCCTTTGCTTTCTCTTCCTTCTTGGGCTTTAAGAGCAGTACACTGTACTTTTCCCTTACTTATGAGCTACGCATCAGCATAGCTCCTCCTTGTCAGGACTTTTTTAATACAGGTTATCAACTGGACTAGTGCACTATATGTAAATGATATTGCTTTGAGTGGTTCGTTCATTAGAAGAGCAGGTGTAATGCCTATTTGACACCTATAGAAACCATTTCTTCAATTGTGCAAGAAAGTAACCTAGACTGCAGAGCACATTCAGCAATTTGGCTTTGTAAGGATAGAAATGTATTCAGCTTGACTCAAGACGATGGCTATTTTAAAAGAACATAACATTCTGCTCATCAGCTGCTTTTAAAAATCCCTAAACCCTTCACTACATGTAAGTTTCTGTGCTAAACCATACACCTCAAAATGAAGCTGATAAATGGCAGTTAGTGGTGTTTCACAACAGGGCTTACATGCTGCTTCCATAAACTCTCATTTGCAGTCACCAGGAAGTCCAGAGAAGGGAAAATCTGAATTTGGGTTTTACAACTTAATAGCACTGATATTTCATCATTGTCCTCAATTTCATTTTGTCCTGTGCTTTTTAACAGGTAAATTTGTGGTGTGCCAGCAGAACTGTATTAATTGCCAGGGAGCATAGGAACAGTATTGGCTCATAAACATCTTGAGATTTGGACCTGTATAGTGCTTGGGTAGGAATCTGGGTTATGCTTGAGACTGCGTCACTTTGGATTTAGGAAAGTTATCACAGTGATATGTTTAAAGTCCTTTTTGTTTTGAAAAGCTCTGATTGCTGCATGCTTCAGCATATGACTAATGTGAGGAGCTCCTGTTCACTACATGCCCTGGAGTGCTTGTTCTTGTTCCTCTAAGCTAATCCCAGCTCTTACAGCATCACTGTTGACATCTACCAAAGCTAGGGTGTTTTTTTCTTTTAGTTTCCCCCTTGTTTAGAGCTTTATAATTATCCCAATAAATGATGTTGAACTCATTAATCTAAGAAACTAAGTTTTCAGAAATTCACTGAGCTGTGTGGTTTCCATGTACTAATTTAAAAAAAAAAAAAAAGGTGAGGCCTTGGGGTGAGTAAACTCTCAGCTGCAGGTTGCTGAGCTACCACTGTGTGCTGGTTCTGGTTTTGCAAACATGGGTCTCTCTTAGAGATTAAGTACAGAGCTAAGTGGACCTGTAGTCAAACCTGGTGCAGCCCTCCTCAACTGGCTTCTTTACAGGCTTCTCAGGGCCATTAGTTTTACAAGAAGCCGTGTGAAATATTGGGAAAGTGGTGTTCCATCTCACTAAAGATCTGGCAGGTGTGACACCTCTGTTGTATTATCTCATTGTCCCACCATTTGTTGTTTTTCATGCAAAATGTTCTGAGCTTTTGCTCACTTGAATCACAAGAGCTGGACTTAAATCCACAGTGTCTTTGGGTTGTCCCATTGACACAAAAAAATAATTGCAAAGTGGGAGGCCTGTGCAGGGCCCATCTTATTCTTCAGGTGTTGCATCAGCCCTGGAAGCCGTTCAAAACCTCCTCAGATTGTCCCTGCTCTCCGCTTAGATCTGCTCAGTCTACTTTTGTTTGGGTTAATACAAGTCTGCGGTCATGGGGCAATTGCAAATAAATGAAGTATGAAAGACTTCATAGGATCTGTATTTGGATATTTATTCAGGCATAAACTGTGATGTGAATGCAGCTGGGTCCCAGATCCAGTGATGCCAGCAAATAAAGATTTGTAAGCTGTGCTATTGTTCTACAGGTATATTATTGTGTGTGACTTTTGGAGAGTGACCTCAATAAAGCTCCTACCTATGATGATTTTTTTTCTACCTTATCAGTCTTTCTGATGATAAAAGAAAACTGGGTTTTGAAATCATGAGTAACTCTGGCATGACACTGGTACAGATCAGAAGATTTATGCCCAGACTTGTTGAGTGCTCCTGCCCCTCTCTCTCCCAAATGAAAGACATGGTTTCTGTCCCTGTATCTTGAGAGAGGTGGATTTAACTATGTTCAGCTCCTGAAAAACTTTGAAGGTTGATGAGATGAAGGATATTCTTTGAAGTCACATTAGTGACTTCTTACAGCAGAGGCTGCTCACAAGATTAGAGGACATGCAAGTATGCTAATAAGTAAATTTGGGTTTTATGAACTCTGGGGGAACTTTTCAATGATTTTAAACTAACTCTACTAGGTACAGTCAAACCTCTTATCTCTGGGAAAAGTGTTTATTTACAGGAACAGCATTGGTTCAGAAACTTGTTCTCTTGCTAGAAGGAGAGTTTATAAAATTGCTGCAAATATTTTAATAGGAAGCCCTGATGAGGGAATGTTTGTCCTACTGATTTTTCCAAGATGTTCAAAAATTACAGTTAGTAGATGTGTAGAGACAACTTTAAACAGCAGTGAAACTCGTCTGATATGCACATCAGTGCTTCTTTACATGGCAAGGAGTGTTAATGAGATGTTGCAACATGCTAAAAAGAACTACCAAAAGAAATTAGGCCAGTGTGGCCCAATCTTTTTCCTTCTGTGAACAGTCAAGCAATAGATGACAGGCTTTTGATGCTCTGCCATGAATGGACTGTAGAACACTGCTTGTTAAAATGCAAAATCCAGGAGGGAGGAGAAGTTGGCATCCATGTGAAAGTAACTGGGCTGCTTACGGACTAGTTTTGATGGTGGAAAGCACATGAGTTGCATTAAATATGATTTCAACATTTGACATTGTCCCCTTCAGCCTGCCTAAATATGTAAATATATGTATATCCATGAAACACCTGAGGAATGTTATCCCTGTTTGATGGGTCTGTTGGCTGACGAAAGATGTTAGGGAACTTTGCCAGAGCCTTGGGAGTAGGAAACACGTGCTTTCCAGATTTGGGATAGGGGTGTGTAACCTGTTTGTATGTGTGTGGTCATGTGCATGTGTAAAGGAGACTGGAAAGAGAAACCAAGAGATACTGACTTTGTCCTTGCAGGGATCCAAATGTAATTGGTTGCACAATAAATGGGAGAAGTGAAAAATAATGTTGTAGCAGTTTAATCAACTGGCTGCTGAAAAAAAACAAATATGGAGATTATTTCTCTATAAAACACTCTAAGACCTCACCAAGGGACACTTCATGTTAACAGATACATTTAAAAGAAAGTAGTGTCAAAAAATAACGTTTCTGAAAAGTCAGTGGCTGCAGGACATTTGCAAACCGTAAATGATTAACAACTGGTGTTTGAAGGCTACAAGTTTCCATCCATAGATCACAGAATCACAGAATCAACTGTGTCAGAAAAGACCTCTGAGATCATCAAGTCCTTGATCCAACACTGCCATGGTTACTAGACCATGGCACTCAGTGCCACATCCAGTCTCACCTTAAAAACCTCCAGGGATGGTGAATCCACCAGCTCCCTGGGCAGCCCATTCCAATGACTGATTACTTTCTCTGTAAAAAATTTCTTCCTAATATCCAACCTAAACCTCTCCTGGCAGAGCTTAAGACCCTCTTGTCCTACTGCTGGTTGCCTGGGAGAAGAGACCAACCTCCATCTGGCTACAACCTCCTTTCAGGGAGTTGTAGAGAGTGATGAGGTCACCCCTGACCCTCCTCTTCTCCAGACTAAACAACCCCAGCTCCCTCAGCCTCTCTTCATAGGACTTGTGCTCAAGTCCCTTCACCAGCCTGGTTGCTCTTCTCTGGACCTGCTCCAGCCCCTCAATATCCTTCCTCAACTGAACTGTGGTGCTCACAACTGAAGGGAACAGATAGGAAGGAGCTTTAAGTAGCTAAGATCTCAGACTCTTGATTTTGAGGAAAGACTTGCTGCTAATCAAAATATTAGGCAAATCTCAATTTATATGACTTATAAATATACTTGAACTCCTCCTTGGGGTCCTGCTGAGCCATGGGCAGCATGTGCTGCTGGAGGGAGGGAGAGCAGTTGGGTTTCAGTGTCCTCAGATCACTGAGCTGAACTCACTAAATAAAACACAAGACTGCTAAATTTTTCATCTGTCTTTCTCAAATAGAAGTTCTTAGTCTGACAGCTTTTCCTTTGCATTCTTAAGTATTACTATTTTAATAGCAATATTTGCTCCCCAGTGCCCTGACTTGGAGTTTAGGTTTCTCTGTGTGCCCTGGGGGCTTTCTCTGCGTGCCCTGGGGGCTTTCTCTGCATGAGGGAGCCAAGACATCCCAAAGCTGTTGGCCAAAACTGACCTGTAATTTTCTTGTAAGTCGTTGTTCCATCACAAAATACTGTGTTGTAAAACCCAAGATATTTCCTGAAGACATACTTATCAGCAATATTTTGTTCTAGAAAGAGCAAAACAAACAAACAAAAAGTATTTACTTACGTTAAAGCAGAATTAGTTTATATAAGATGTTACAATAAAATGCGTTTGTCCTACAAGGATGAAAAATGTGGCAAAGCATTTCAATAAAATGTTCATTTAGGAACAAGTGACAGAGATTCTTTTGTCCACCTTTATTATGGAAAATTTATATAAGCTTGCAGAATTTGCTGTGAAAGGGGAAGTCTTATTACAAGCCAGCTTTGTTTTCTCTCTCTGTGCTGCTTTGCTTTGTTTTACATCTTGTATTAATGAGGTGTTCAGCTGTGCAAGAACTAATGTTTTCTCTGTTTGTGGTTGACTTTTTGACTGCTAAACTTAATTGCTGTATGATATCTTTACAGTCCAACCTTCTGAAATTTATAACTTTGGTATACAATACTTCATAAAGATGCAATATCAAATATATGGAATGAGAGATGCAGTTGACTTTAACTCTCGAGTCTCTTAAAAGACTGAGGAACTCACTGGCATGGTGCTTAAGTATAGAAGAGAACATGTCACTTGTAAAATAGCCAGATTTAAGCAGAAGCTACTCAGGGACTGGTGGACAGTTCGTTTAGGCCTTTTGGAGGGTTTCTCCTTTAAAAAAGTTTGAACCGCATATTTTGTAGCACGAGCCAATCGAATAAGTGCTATGTTTCTGTACAGATTTACTTGCTGGTGACTGGGCTCTTGCTCGAGAGCCGCAGGGCCAAATGCCGGTGCTCCTACCATGAAGTGTGAATTCAGCCTCCCTTAAAATGTAAACCCCATGGAAAACTCACACAAATTATGAGAAACTGCTATGAACTGAACCATGAATTTTTAATATTCAGTTAACCTAAGGTACAAGCTAGAGCTTAAAATAAATTACTTTATATTTTATACTCTGAGTAGTGCATGTAGTGATACATGAAGGGAAATAAAGTTTCCAAAGAACTCTCTGCTTTGGGTTAAACAGGGCAGTATTACAAGCAGTCATCCTGGAGGCAGAATTGTACCAGATCTGTGTGTGGGCAGAAAATCTGGTGGTGCCTTTCGTTACCTGTCCATGTCTGGTGTCTCACCTCCTGCTTGAACCAGATTCCTTGCAAAGCCTCGGTGGCCAGTTGCAGCATGGGCTGCCACTCCTGCCTTCAGCAACAAGGTAGCAGACAAAAACACTTGTGAGGGATAGGAAACTTGATAGGAATTCAAGCATCACTTCTCATCTGATTTACAGTGACCTTTTTCTTTCCTCCCTGGTCTTTTAAGTGTTGAAATGTCAGAGAAAACAGTACTTGAAGTGTCCTGTAATTTCCTCCAGGCTCTGCTGCTTCCTTCCCCTCCACACCCCGTCCTGGCAGGTCTGGAGCAAAATATCTCCTAGCACTTGGGTACATGAGAGTAAACTGGTTCATTGCCTCTTTGGTTGAATGTTTTGTCCCATATTTTGGCCACTCCAACAGTCTCCTGACCAGCTGAAGAGCATCCTGCGCTCAAGTCCTTCCGTTGTCCAACCTCTGCCTCCAGCAGAGTGGGACCCCTGCCCTTCAGAGTGCAGCATCAGGGACGGAGCCACCTGGCACCTCCTCACCAGTGCTCATGGCTGCAGCCAGGAAACATTCTGAGCAACATTTCCAGGAGGTCAAGTCTGAATTACAAATGACCAGGGAGAGAAGGGCACTGACCTCTCATCAGTGCTCTCTTGACAGAAGTTATGAACAAACCTGACTATCCCTGTCTTTTACTCAGGGTACTGCAAGTAACACTGAAAAATATGCCTGCTCATAAGCATAACGCCAAAGTGATATGTATTTCCTTTTGCAGAACTGCAGCACCTAATTTTTGGAGTGTTTCTGCCACATACAAATGTGTTTCTCCCGCCTGATGTGTTTCATTTGATACAGGAATTCTTCCTTTAGTCAGATGAGATATGACCATTCCCAGTGCTTTGAAAAAGCAGGTTCCTTGGATACAGTGGGGAATCTGAGCCACCACAGGCACCGGAGATGGTTATGCTGGCTTTAGCAAAGGGGGCAAAGAGCCTCAGGGATGATGTCTGACACTCGGTAGCTTTGTAGGGATGGCACAGGTGCCACATTTGCCTCCAGTCCTCCTCCAAGTGAGCAAGGTGTGGACTGTCTCCTACAGCATTTGCATGCTGCTTTACTTTGTCCGTGACACATGGGATTCAGAGCACAGTAGGAGAGATGTACAGATTGGAACACTCCCACACATAGTCTTATTCAGGTTAACAGGGGGCAAAATGTCCCACTGATGTGATGACCAGGGGTGAACTCTGGAGGTCGCAGTGCAGGGACCAGGGTAGCGCTGCCACCCAGCACGGGCAACCTCAGACAGGGCTCCTTCCTCAGCTGACGCCTGGGGGAGTTGGCAGCTCCTGGGAAATCTGTAAGGCCCGAGCAATTCTCTCTGTTTTTTCACCAAGAAAGGGAAATACCGGGGAAAAGTTAAATTCTCTGCAGGAATTGCCTTCCCATTG